AACCCATCAGGCGCGATTCATAATAAATCATCGTGAATATGGGTACGGTTCCCGTGACATAGTTATGATACATAATTCCCAAATTCGGGTGTGCATTTCATGTGACCCGATCATAACAACTTTGAATAATAATGATAAAATAAACATATCGCAAATCGCGGGTGCATTTCATATAGCGTGGTTTGCAATGTGTTCCCAAACGACAAGTGTACGACAATCGTAACTTGTTCAAGAAATAATTCCATAAATCCTAAAAAGCGTTTAAATAATTAAAAGCGGTTTAAAAGGTTCAAAATTCAAAATAGGTTTAAAACTTGCAATTAATTAGATAATTAGGCCAATTATTAATAGTTAAGCAACCGTGCTAGAACCACGGAACCCGGGAATGCCTAACACCTTCTCCCGGGTTAACAGAATTCCTTGCCTAGTTTTTCTGGTTTCGCAGACTTTTAAATGAAGTCAATTCTCCTCGATTTGGGATTTAAATTAAACCGGTGACTTGGGACACCAATAATTATTCCAAGTGGCGACTCTGAATTAAATAAAATAATCCCATTTCGATTTATGTCACTTAAATTGGAAAAACTCCCTAATCCCTCTCGGGAAAAGGAGGTGTGACAGCACTCAGCTCTTGTTTTTGGCACGTCTACTCCTTCAGCATTCTTCTTCATGGTAGCCAGGGGACCATCAGTGACAATGTCCCATAGCTAATAGTCTTCTCCGATGATGTGATCTCTCATCCTGTTTTTCCACCAGGAGTAGTACTGGCCATTAAAGAGTGGAGGCCTAGCAGTGGATTGCCCTTCCTAGTTTCCAGGTGGTGCACTCATCTTGATCTGTTCCTAAGGTGTTAGCCTCTTCAAGGATAACCCGCTCTGATACCAATTGATGTTTTATACTTCAATACCAGACAAGAGGGGGGGGGGGGTGATTTGTGTGGTGTCCAATTTTTTGCTTAAATTGATTACGGAAGGACTTGGTTCTTCTATGTGTTCCTTATACTACTGTTGCGGAATAATAAATGTAGAAAGTAAAGAACACAAGTATTTTTACGTGAAAAACACCCAGCTCAAAAGGTAAAAAAAACCACGACCTACTACTCAGTAGGATTTTCCCCAACACTTCACTAAATCACTGAGCCAAAACAACATTTACAAAACTCTTTGTAAACCTAAGGATTACCTCTAATCTCGTTGTAGCACACAACCTCTAACTATTGCGACAATTTCAAGTTAACTCTAACTTGAATACTCTAAGTACCTATTACAATTTCCTCTAGATAAAGCTGAAAGGTACAATATGAAAACACCTACTACAATTGAACTAGAATAATAAAAGACAGACACTTGGAACTGGTTCTTCTATCTGGTTCACGTAGCTTCAGGTTTGCACACTTGAATCACACACGAACTGCTTGCAAAATGGCCTTGCTATTTTGCTCTCAATTCACGTTTAACTTCTGCGTTTGTGCAACCCCTATAAAATATAACAACACTGATATTTATAGAGTTAGTAAATAAAGATCAACTAGAATTCTGATGCTACTCTTCCTTGGTGGAAAGTTCTAGTTGATTTCAACTTCTAACTCCTTCCCTATCTTGGACAGTGTTCTCTTTGATTAAGGAGTCCTTATCCTTATCAATTATGCTACCTTTTCGATCAGGAGAAATCAAATACACCAATTTAAGCTTATCTCCTTCACATGCATCCCACATGCTCGAATCTGCCCGTTTCTATGCACACACGGGATGGACCTGGTTCATACCTGAGTTCCTTTGTCAGTCTTCAAAACTAACCTTTACTTGGGCCAACACTTACCCCATTACTTAGTATTTTCTCGCCCAATATGCACAAACACTGCAGCCAATAGCAAAATCTTGAATACCCAAGAGGAGAGGAGATTTAGGGGGCGGAAGGAAGTTCACCCGTATCCCCTTCGTCGGAAAATTATACTACATATATAAAGTAATTTTTTTATATCTCTATATATTCTATTTTGAATCCCCTTTACACAGCCTAAAAGCATCGCTCAATTCCCACTAACCATAGTCTCTTTTAATTTTTTTTTACTTTTTTGTTAACCCTTTAGCGGAAATCATGCCTCCGTCACTGCCCAAGAGACACTAGGAATGGTAGTGCACGTTACTTTGCATGGGATCATTTTAATAGCCAAGATTGTCACTAAAGGAGTCGAACTCTACAAAGCACTAAAGAAAATCTCTGCCTTCTCAAATCAGGTGACAATGGTGTTTTACGAATTTGATGGTCAAGTCTACAATGAAATTTATAAAGCTGTTGAAATCTATTTGGGCAACAAGATTTATTCCGAAAACCGTAGGTTCAAAGTGAGTAAACCTGAGAAGAATTTTAAAGTCACATTGGATCACAATGAGAAGGTGAAAGATGTTTACGATGGTCATAAATTCAAGTGGGTTTGGTTAGATTCTAAAAGCGTAAGATCTAACATGGGGAGTTGTTTTGACCTTACTTTTCACAAGAAGCATAAGGAACTTGCTTTACTTGCCTTACATTACTAAAAAGGGCAGCCCGGTGCACTAAGCTCCCGCTATCCGTAGGGTTCAGGTAAGGGGCGGACCACAAAGGTCTATAGTACGCAGCCTTACCCTGCATTTCTGCAAGAGGCTGTTTCTACGGCTCGAACCCGTAACCTCTTAATCACATGGCAACAACTTTACCAGTTACGCCAAGCTCCCCTTCTTGCCTTACATTACTAGAGAAGCAAATCATTTGAGAAAGAATTAAGACAAGACAATGAAGATTTCGCACTGTGGAGTGTCAAAAAGTATGTGGAAGCTAAGCCATTGAATCTATATCATTTTTAAGCAACTTCGATATTATATGTAATGTTTGTCACCTCTTGGATTTTGTGTTTTATGAAATTTTGTTAATTTGATGAATTCAGATCTAGAAGAATAGAAAGATGAAGACGAGAGGAGAAGAACTGGAAATGGAAAGCTCATTGTTCCATTGAGAAATTCACTGTACATCTCTAACAACTAACCGACTAACATGTATTTATACTAACTAATCTCTAACTCAACTATAGTTACTAGTATGTACTCTAGTTAGCTAACTATGGTTTATAAATAACAACTAACTAACACTAAGTACTTGTCCTGTATCAATACATTCCTCAATACCCCCCTCAAGCTAGGTCTAAGGAAAATGTTCTTTAGGCCTAGCTTGGATAACAAATGGTCATGTTGAATGCAACTTAACCTCTTTGTTAATAGATCAGCTGTTGCTCAGTAGAAGGCAGATACACAGTTTCAACCAATCCCTGCTGTACTTTCTCGCGAATGAAATGGTAATCAATATCAATGTGTTTAGTCCTTTCGTGAAAAACTGGATTCGCAGCAATTTGCATTGCAGATTTACTGTCACAATAGAGTGGAATAGGCAAAGTGAGAGATACTCCCAATTCACTGAACAGACCAACCAACCACACTATCTCTGCCACAGTTGATGCCAAACTCCTGTACTCTGCTTCAGCTGAACTACGAGAGATAGTATTTTGCTTCTTGGATTTCCAAGATATGAAAGAATCACCAAGTGTGACCATATAACCAGTCACTGACTTCCTTGTATTTGGGCAAGAGGCCCAATCAGCATCACAATAAGCTTGCAACTTGTTAGAACCAGTAGATGACATAAGGATTCCCAGACCAGGATTCTTCTTCAAATATCTAATCACTCTTAAGGCATCTTCAAGGTGCGATGTCTTAGAAGCATGCATGAATTGGCTCAAACATTGCACAGCAAAGGAGATATCTGGCCTAGTAATAGTTAGGTAAAGTAGCCTACCAATCAATCTCTGATAGGCTCCAGGATCAGCAAGCAAAGTATCACTGGTAAGTCCAAATTGATGATCAAATTCAGCTGTGGTTAACTTCTGATTCACCTCAACAGGAGCCCCTACAGGTTTTGCCCCTGCCAAACCAACATAAGAGATAAGTTCGAGGGAATATTTCCTTTAATGTAACAAAATCCCTTCCTTACTTCTTGCAAACTCAATGCCCAATAAATACTTGAGCTCCCCCAAATCTTTGATTTTGAAATTTTGATGAAGTGTAGCTTTGGTGTCTGATATAAGAACAGCATCATCTCCAGTGATGAGCAAGTCATCTACATACACTAGGATGATGACTATTCTTCCATTGATATGTTTGGTGAACAAGGAATAATCAAGATGACTTTCTTTGAATCCGGACTGAGGAAGAGTTGTAGTTAACTTGATGTTCCATTGGCGTGAAGCATGTTTAAGCCCATAAAGAGACTTGTGTAGTCAACAAACTTGTGTCTTTCCTGCTGAATGTGAGAAACCCTGAGGTAGATCCATATATACTTCCTCTTCCAAATCTCCTTGCAAGAAAGCATTATATACATCCATTTGATGCAAAACCCAACCTTTTGCAGCTGCAATAGCAATAACAGACCTAATTGTGACCATTTTCACTACAGGTGAAAAGGTCTCTTGATAATCCAAGCCTTCCTTCTGACTATATCCTTTTGCCACCAAGCGAGCCTTGAACCTTTCTATATCTCCAGAAGCTCTTATAGACCCATTTACAACCAACTGCCTTCTTGCCATGAGGTAGGGTTACTACTTCCCATGTGTGATTGTCTTCTAGAGCTTGAATCTCTGCTTTTATAGCTTCAATCCATCGCACATCTTTGGCTGCTTCATAATAAGATGCGGGTTCAGTTTCTGAAGAAACCTTAGCAACATAGGCTTGATATTTGGCTGAAAGGCCATCATAGTGTATAACATCACTAATTGGATATAAACAATGATTTGCAGAACTTGATCCTCTTTGAGGTCTAATGTAGTCTTTGAGCCAAATGGGGGGTCTAGTGGTCCTGCCAGACTTTCTCTGATTATAAACAATGGGTGATTAACTTTGTCCTACATCAGATGCCATAGATGCCTCATTTTTAATAGCTGGTGCTTGTATCTCTGAAATAGAAATGGTACCCTCTTATGCATTGCTAGGAATAGAGGATGATGTGGCATGCATCTCATGTGCAGGAACATCAGCTGCTGTGTCAATATGAGCAGTCTCAAATGACTCATCACCCCTGCTATCAATAGGTGACAGTAGACAACCATTGTTGACTATGGAAGTTGATTGAGAGAACACTCTGAAATCTTCATTATTATATTGGAAAGGATACACATCTTCATGGAAAACTATATCCCTGCTCACAAACATAGATCTTTGTTGAATGTTATATAACTTGTAGCCCTTCTGTGTAGGAGCATAGCCCAGAAATACAGACCTTATTGCACGAGGACCAAATTTGTCTCCCTTCACTAAATTAGTAGCAAAGCATAAACATCCTAGAACCCTCATATGAGATATAGAAGCTTCTCTGCCAAACAACACTTCAAATGGTGATTTGTTGTTCAGAACAGTAGAGGGTATCCTATTGATGATATACACTGCTGCCTCCACACATTCCCCCAGAATCGAATAGGCAAGTGAGCTTGAAACCTTATAGCCCTTGCTGTCTCCAAGATATGTCTATGTCTTCGTTCCACCACTCCATTTTGTTGTGGAGTATATGGACAAGAACTTTGATGCACAATGCCATGCACTGAGAATAATTCATTGCAACTCTGATTAAAAACTTATGTGCCATTATCAGATCTAAAATATTTTATCATCTTGCCAAACTGTGTTCTAACCATAGTAATAAAGTGCTTGAGTACTGTAACTACATCAGATTTAAGATGCAATAGAAAAACCCAAGTCCATCTAGAGCAATCATCTACAATTGTGAGAAAAAACCTTTTTCCATTATGAGTTAAAGCTTTGTAAGGCCCCCATACATCCATATGTAGTAAATAAAAACAATCTACTGCTCTAGTAGTACTTATAGGAAATGGAATTCTAGCTAGTCTTGCCAATGGACAAATGTCACAATGGCTTATTCTAGTACTATAGCTACCAGTGAAACTATGCAACTTCTTAATGACTGAAACTGGAACATGTCCCAGCCTCCTATGCCACAACTCAGTATCATCTCTGACTACTGTAAATGACTTAGCTGGATTCTTTAATCTTCTTTGTGTATGAAGCACATAGAGTTCCCCTTCCTTCTTACCAATCTCCTTCGCCTTCCCAGTAAAGAGATCCTGTAAAATACAGAAATCAGGATAAAAGTTGCACAACACTTAAGGGCCTTTGTCAATTGAGACACAGACAATAGGTTAAACTTGAATGCTGGCACACATAAGACACCTGTAATAGTTTCTCCTCCATTCAGTTGGCAACTTCCAACATGAGACACTTTAGCTGAATCACCTGTAGGAAGCTGTACACTGCCTGCATTTCCTGTTGTCACTTTATCATGTAAAGTATCTTGGTTACCAACCATGTGATTAGTGGCCCTAGTATCTACAATCCACTTTTCATCAGACTGTTGAAATATGAAACATTACCTGCCATATGTGCACAAGCAGGAGATTCTGAGACATGTGTTTTATTCAGCATAGTATGGATTTGTTGATATTGCTCCGGTGTAAAGACTGGTGCTGGTGCATACTGCTGTTGCCCTAGCTGCTGTCCTTGTCCAAGGCCTTGTTGACCATAATTCTGTGATTTAGTCAACATTCCATCTGATGAATAATAAGTACCTTGGCTTGGAAGACTACTGGTCATATTTGCCTTCCTCTTTGGCTTAAAATCTGCAGGGTAGCCATTCAACTTGTAACAGTTTGTCTTCAAATGCCCTTTCATGTTGCAATATTCACACCTCAATAATTTGTAGCAGTTATCTCTTGTATGCCCTTTCATATTACAATAGTCACACTCCAAATTGTAGTTTTTCTTCATCTTTTGCCCCACTTTTGATGAGTTCAAGGCTGTGGGATCTGAGGAATCAGGAACATATGAACTATTACCAGCTACAAATTTTTGACTTTCATCTTGCAGAATCATTGCATATGCTTGATTAACAGTGGGAATTTTAGACTTCATAAGAATTTGACTACGGGCTTGGCTGTAACTATCATTAAGTCCCATCAGAAATTACCATAGTCGCTGATATTGTTGATGATCTACAAATTTTTTAGACTTATCACAGCAAGTAGGAGGTGGCATTATCGAATCATATTCATCCCAGAGATCCTTTCGTTTAGAGTAATACACAGACACACTAGACATTCCTTGAGTTAATGTGATAATTTCTCTGTGAAGATAATACATGCGTGAAGCATTCACCTTACCAAAACGTTCACGCAGATCAACCGAAATTGCACATGCATTTGAGAGAAACAGAACACCACTCAATAAATCACGACTAACATTATGCATAATCCATGATTTTACTATAGCATTACATCGATCCCAAAGGTTAGCATACTTATCTCCATAGGTGTCGCGTGTAATGGTTCCATCAACAAATCCCAGCTTGTTGCGAGTCAACAGTGAAACCTCCATAGCTTGGCTCCACATAGTGTAATTCTCCATTCCGATCAACTGGAAACCTAATGATAACGCTCCAGGTGTATCAGATGGATGCAGATATAGAGGATTATTGTGATCAATCACAATTTAGCTTTGATCAGCAACTTCATCAATCGCCATTGAAAAAAATTAGGGTTTTTGAACAAAAAAATAGAGGATAGACATAAGGTCGATGTATCTCTCGTTCTTCAGCAAATTCACAGTGAAGAACCCTAGATTTGATTGATTATCTGCTCTGATACCGTGTTAATTTGATGAATTCAGTTAACTTGCAATTCAGATCTAGAAGAATAGAAAGATGAAGACGAGAGGAGAAGAACTGGAAATGGAAAGCTCACTGTTCCATTGAGAAATTTACTGTACATCTCTAACAACTAACCGACTAACATGTATTTATACTAACTAATCTCTAATTCAACTATAGTTACTAGTATGTACCCTAGTTAGCTAATTATGGTTTATAAATAACAACTAACTAACACTAAGTACTTATCCTGTATCAATACATTCCTCAACAAATTTCAAGTTGCTTCGATTGAGAAAAACAAAAACAATCTATATATAAGAAAACAGTATGTCAAATTAATTTTTGAAGGGTTGAAAGCATAGGGTCCTTTCACAAAATGCTAGATCATATATGAATTATATGTTGTGTCATCATTACCACGGAGAAAAAGTAGATTACTTTTAGCATTGTTGCGGAAATATTGGACTACTAGTATAGTGGACAAGTAAAAATGAACGGAGGAAGTACTAGTGGTTGTAGCCCGTGCTAGCACCGAGCCCAAGTTCAGAAATTGATTCCTTGTATTGACTTTTGGTACTTCGAAAAACTTTTAGTCGAAAGCCATTTTTTGGTAATTAAAAGACGTTGTTATTATGTTAATCCTTTATTTCCCATTCTTTTTCTTTAAAACTTAAAAGATCAACAAATTTTTATAGATAAAACCTATGTTTTTGAGATTTTAGTAATCCAATCTATATTAGCAAGTCTCACTTGAGCATAATTGCAAGCTATATATCTGTAATGAATAATTTTTTTTTATATTTGTTTCGCCAAAAAGTTTTCTGTAGGTTAATCTTATTCCCTTTTTTCAATTTGATTGTAATTCATGTGTTCAATAGGGTACAATAATATTTATATTATAGGTTCATCCAAATTCGGGAGGGTTAGTTTGAACTTTGTATGCATGTTAAAAGATTCACTAAAAGTATCAAATTGATAGATTTCGAACTCAGTAAATAAAATAAAACTGTGGTAGAATCCGAAAATCAATCTTAGACTTGTCATAGTGTGCAACTGCAGTTCAATTAAATCAACCATAAAAATACTTCTAAATACATTTCCAATACGTCACGATAGCTAATTCTATTTATTATTCAAGCAGATATTTTTTAACTTTATTTAAAAAGCAGTATTTGCAGTGATATAAGGAAAAGAATTGTGAATTTAATTTTGGGACTACGAGGCGGTTCCTCGGGAGTTCCCTTTATTGATATTTCTTTATTGATGTTCTTGTCTTCGGTGAATTTGTTTCATTTAACGTGTAAATTCCTGTCTTCTTCTGTGGTGTATCAATTGCCTTTACTGTGTATAGTTAAATTGTAGCATACTCACTTCTTGTTCCATTCCCATTTTCATCATTAATATATTGTTAAATCTTTTGCCCTGTTTATTATTATTTATTTCCGGTAGGGCCCTGACTTGACCTCGTCACTACTCTACCGAGGTTAGGTCTGGCACTTACTGGGTACCGCTGTGGTGTACTCATACTACGCTTCTGCACATCTTTTTGTGCAGATTCAGGTACTTCCTACCAGATCAGGTATCAGTGAATATTTCTATTTTTCTATTTCTATTCTTTTTCTATTATATAGAAAAGCCTTGATGGTCGACCAAGGACAAAGTGGTAATTTTACATAGCTAATTTTAATTTTAATATTTATTGATCTGATAATAGCCGTGTCCTTCCTCACTGCAAGCTTCTTTAATTTTTGCTGACTGGATGTTTACATTGGAATCTCTACATACATGTGAATATTTTTTTCTTCAATTTTATAAGTACTATATTTTCACTCAGATTGGATTTTTTGAAGAAGTTGGGGACCTTCCATTCTATTCGATGCAGAGACTGCTACTGTAGTCATTCGATACAAGGTACTTTTTTTCGTGTTCCTGTAGTCATTTTTCCTCATCTTATTTCTCATTCTTGAGGAAGCATATTTTTAAGATAAGAAGTTGAAACTTGGAGACATTTTAAAAGATGACATGATAACTTAATCTGAAGGTGGAAACCCAAAAAATATAATATTGAACATTCCATATAGATGTTGCTTCCCAGTGCTTACTTTGCTTATTTGAATTTTTATTGCTGCCTTTTTTTGTGGATTCTCTAATGTGTAGCCATTTTAGCATTTTCTGCACGAACTTATGGAATTATTTAAGCTTTTTAACATTATTGAACTACCTGACCAACTGTGAAATAATGACCTTAACTTTAGGAAAGACCAAGTAAGATTTGTTGCTTGAGAAAAAAGACTAAGTAGTAGAATTGACAGCACTGACCAACAACAACAACAATAACAACAACCAGCACTGACCAATGAATCAAGGTGTGTATTGTAGTATTAGAAGTGGGGTTCATGCTAAGCTAACAATTCAAGGTGTGTATTGTAGTATTAGTTTTTCATGGTTATTAGCTTTAGGCAAGCTGCAAAAGATTAATTAACAAGAATTCCAAGTGCAGTACTTAAGGAACTTCTTATCATTTTTCCCCTACGTTATGCCTTTATAAACCGGTATTTTCTTATATTAACTGTATGGTTTTATTCTTACTTGCTATTGCAGCAGAGCTATAGTGTGGTCTTTCTATCACGTGTTACTTACCAATATTTAATATGAACATCTTTTTACTAAGAAATCAAATTTGGAATCAGCTAACATGGGTCTCTTTGACAGGGACACAATATTGAGATAGTATGGTCTTGTGGATGAGGTATTCACATTTGAGATGAGAAACTATCACCTGCTATATTATTATTTCTGTTGGAAGTTCATTTTGCGGGACAAAATATTTATGGGTGAATTGGGTTAGATGTACTGAATTTGCATGAAGAGCTTGTAACATAGAACATGCTTGCCAATTATAGTTTTACATTTTAATTTCTTCACGTACCAATAGTTTTATTATAGACTAAAAAAAAAATTACTAAATTACAGTACAGGGAACACATCTTATCTTGTCATTGTGTAGATTGTATATATGTAAAAAGATTAGTCTATGTCATCTTGCGAGCACACAACACCCACTGAATCGATGTTTTGTTAAATTTTGTACAACTTGGATAACTTTTTCCGTTCAATTAGTGTGCAATATTATTTATATATGAATTGTTACCATGTACATCTTTCGATCTTTTCTTTTGTCGTTCTGCATATTTGTCTATACAGTATCAGTACAAAAGTTATCAAGATTAATTAACTCTGTTATTTAAACAATCAAAATAAGAGTAAGTATTCAAGCTATTATATTGAGAAATCCATCTAGTCTCCAATAAAAAACGTTAGGGTTTGGCTCTGCTCCAGTAAATCTCAATGGTTGTTTTGATTAGAGACACGTGTCCTTCACAATTTCAAAGGATAAGATTTGTTTACAGTATTAATGACAATAACTGGAAAAGATATTTAAAAAAATCTACTTTCAGTTCTTGATCGAGCAACATCGGAAACCAGCCAATTTATCTCTCTTTTGAATATCTTTATCAATTGTTAAACATACTAGAACATGATTATTTTCTGTTTCATTAAACAACAATCTTTTTAATATTTTCCTCCTTTTTGGTCTGACTTTGACAATTCGAGGATTTTATTATAACAATAATGTGTGACACGTAATTGTTACATCGAAAGTGAGTTCAAAGGTATATATATATAGAACCAGTATTATAAGACAAAATTAAAATTATTTCTTCTTGCATATTTGCTATAAAAATGTCACGACCCCAATCCCGGTCGTGATGGCGCCCAACACTAATGCTAGGCAAACCCGACCAATTTAAATACTCTCAACCCAAATACGCAATCCGTTAACAAATAATACGATTAAAATAGCAAATATCAAGGTTCCAATCCGAAACTAAATAAAATAGTACGGGAAATAATAACGAATATCCAACCATTCCCTAATCGATCTGGAGTCACGAGTCTAGAGCCTCTAGATGTAACAGAGTACTATATCCATAGTAATAAAGAAGTCTAGGATATGGAAAGATAAATGAAATAAAGGGGAGGAGTCGGGTCCAGCGGACGTCAGGCAACTACCTCAACAACTCCTGAAAATAAACTTCACGAAAACAGCAAACAGCTCCACTAAGTCTCCGGAGCACCTGAACCTGCACACATGGTGCAGGGAGTAAAGTGAGTACTTCCAACTCAGTGAGTAATAAACATATATAATGGCTGAAAGTAAGAAATCCCAAAATATTACAATATAAAGCTATAATCAACGATTCAGCACGTTAAACGATAAAACAACAGCAGACAATGACAATTAAGA